GAGCTTTTTGCGTTACCGCTCGCTCTTTATTTGGCGTCTCTGGGCCTTCTTGGGAGTCCTATTGGGGCCCTTTTGGAGCCCTTTTGGGGTCCTCTTGGGGCTTCTTGGGGGGTTCTTTGGGCCTCCTGGGAGCTTCTTGAGGCGAACGGCTAGACTTTTCGGTTCGTGGTCCCCCTCTGGGGGCCGTCTTGGGGCCCTCTTGGGCCGTCTTGGGCGCCTCTTGGGCCCTCTTGGGCCGTTTTGGGGTGGGAGCCCCTTGGGCCGTCTTAGGGCGGTCTTGGGGGCCTCTTGGGGCGAAAGGCTAGACTTTTCGGTTCGTGGTCTTGGGGCTCTCTTGGGCCGTCTTGGGCGCCTCTTGGGCCGTCTTGGGGCCCTCTTGGGCCGTTTTGGGGGCCTCTTGGGAGCCTCTTGGGCCGTCTTGGGGCGGTTTGGGGGGCCTCTTGGGCCGTCGTCAACGCCGTGAAAGCCGAAAAGCCGAACATGCTGAAAATGAATGTTCCCCTATGGGAAGTCAATGATTTTGGCCTCCCGGGGCCTCTTGGGGGGCCTCTTGGGGGCCTCCTGGGGGCCTCCTGGGGCCTCCTGGGAGCTTCTTGGAGCGAAAGGCTAGACTTTTCGGTTCGTGGTCCCCCTCATGAGGCCGCCTTGGGGCCCTCGTGGGCCGTCTTGGGCGCCTCTTGGGCCGTCTCGGGGCCCTCTTGGGCCGTTTTGGAGGCCTTTTGGGAGCCTCTTGGACCGTCCTGGGGCAGTTGTGGGGGCCTCTTGGGCAGTCGTCAACGCCGTGAAAGCAGAAAAAGCGAAAATGCTAAAACATTTTGTTTTCCGATTGGAAATCAATAATTTTGGCCTCCCGGGGGCTCTTGGGGGGCCCCTTGGGCGCCTCTTGGGGCGTCTGGGAGGCCTCTTGGGCCGTCTTGGGCGGTCTTGGGCTCTCTTGGATCACTCTTGGGCCGTCTTGGAGGAATCTTGGGCCTTTTTGGGCGCCTCTGACTGTCCAAGAAGCGCCCAAGAGGCCTCCAAGACGCCCCGAGCGGCCATAACATCACATCCCTCCGCCCCTCCCCCCTCCCCTGGACCCCTCCCTAGAGGGCTTCGCCCAAACACAACGTCATCACTCGTACCCCGCTCTTTGCGTTACCTGCTTGGCATGGGGACGGAACGCGCGACCCCCGAGACGGCCAAGATGGTCCCGGACCCGCCCGTCAGGGTCCCCCCGGTCGTTGGCTTCGACGCCCGCCCGCCCGCACTCGCGTCCCGTTCGCCGGGCCCGCCCGCCAAAATCCGCCCGCCCGACTCGCGCACCGGGGTCCGCCCGCCCGAGCCGCCCGTTGCAGTCGGGCTTGACACGCGAGAGGACACGCGAGAGGACACAAGACCCTTCCGAAGGCCACATCGCCATAGGAGTGCAAGAAGGCACGTGTCGCGAGGCACAGGACACAAGGGTACCCCTGAGCCGGCAAGGTCCACCTACTAATCCGGGCCGGCTGTAGGGCCAGGCGGGAAAGGAGGAGGAGGAGGAGGAGGAGGAGGAGGAGGAGGAGGAAGAGGAGGAGGAGGAGGAGGGGGAGGAGGGGGGGAGGAGGAGGAGGAGGAGGAGGAGGAGGAGGAGGAGGAGGAGGAGGAGGAGGAGGAGGAGGAGGAGGAGGAGGAGCCCGTCCGGGTCCGCACGTCCGACCCGCCTGCCTTCACCCCCTCGGGGTCTACCTGGGAGCTGGCACACAAGAAGTACCCCCCGCAGGGGTCGGAGTCGGGAGTCGAGGGCTCGGGGGTGCACACATCGAGGGCGCGAGCCAAGTACACCCTGCGAAATGCTTAAGAAATCATGGGTTAAGAAATTCATAGTCTCAGAACTTGAATAAAAACCCAAAATTCCCATTCGAATCTTAGGATTTGCATTGAAACATTAAGAATCATCGAGACCCTGGCCGAAAATGTAAGTTTTCTTAAACATCGCCTAAGGTGTAGACCAGACGGCCTTAAGATGCTTGTTTCTGCTGTGGGCGGAACCACGGCCGGACTAGCTGCGACTGCCGAATCCAAGCGAACCTGCCACGATCAGGCCCTCGGCAGAATTCGAGAACATGGGACCCTCCGCCGGCCAAAACACACGGAACATCCAAGAGGACCCTCCCCAGGATGCACAAGGACATCCCGCGAGCACGAAGAACACTACATAAAGTACCCTCCCCAAGCCGACCTCGATCTTATACTTCGGTCCGGCCGTATTGCATCTGACACATTGCCAGGAGCACGGACCACTCGTCGCGGCCTTCGCGCGGCCATCCGATCTCGCAATATTGTGAGGGGCAAAGGTACGGCCAGAGAGTCTATGGGGAGAAAGCAACAGACGGGGGAGGCGAAGGGACGGCAGGGGAGGAGCGGACGGAGAGCAGGAGAGAGCGAGAGAGAGAGAGAGAGAGAAAGAGAGAGATGGAGAGGGAGAGGACGGGGAGTGCAAGCGAAAGGAGAGGATGGATGAGGAGAAGAGGGCAACAGAGGAGGAGGAGGAGGAGGAGGAGGAGGAGGACCAGTGTAAACCCAAGACTCATCAACGATGTTGGCGTAAACCCTCCCTCCAAGCTCCCTCTTCATAGGCCCCTACAAGGGTTCATTTCCACTGAAGGAACTGCCTCATTCGGAGACAATTTGAAGAGCCTAAGCGTGCCAAAATACCATTCTCGGGACTCCAACGCCACAAATCAACCTGAGTGTTGCGTCTTGAGGGTCATGACTAGTGCAAGAACGCGACTGCCGGGACTGCAACGCAATGAACCAACGTAACTATTGCGCCCTCACAGTCCCGAGTCCTTCCAAAACGCCATTTCTGATACCTGACAAGTGGGAGCACGTGAAATCCTTTCACATGTTTAAGCGAATGCGCGCGGCGCTACGGCGAAAACAACATGTTGACACCGACCCGCCCTCAAGCCGTGAAAGCCTTGCACCATGTTCCAAACGACTGCGCGCGGCGCTAGCACGAGAACCGCATTGTGAAAACCAGACGCCCTCAATCCGTGAAACTCTTGCACAACGTTGAAAACGAATGTACGCGGCGCTAAGGCGAGAACCGCATTTTGAAACCATCCCGCACTCAAGCCGTGAAACTCTTGCAACCAACCTGTTTAAGACGAGTGTACGCGGCGCTAAGACGAGAACCACATGTTGGAAACCACCCACCCTCAATCCGTGCAGCCCTTGCGCGTTTGAAACAAATGCGCGCGGCGCTAAAGCGAGAGCCACATTTTGGAAACCCCGCCCTCCATCTGTGAAACCGTTGCCAATTTCTAAGCTTCAGGGTCACAGATGGAGAGGAAATTTCAGGCGAAACGCCCTGCCCGCCGTTTCGACCGGCCTCGGGGTGCAATAGGAAATAACTACTTACGAAGAAAATGAATGGAAGAGGAGGGAGAGGAGGAGGGGGAGGAGGAGGAGGAGACACAACTTTGCATGCAGGAGGAGGAAGAAAGAAAGGCGGAAGAGGAGGGGGAAGGAAGAGGAGGAGGAAGAGGAGGAGGAGGAGATAGATGGAGGAGGAGATGGAGGAGGAGGGGGAGGAGGAGGAGGAGGAGGAGGAGGAGGAGGAGGAGGAGGAGGAGGAGCCGGGCGGAACGAAAAGAGGATGAACGGAGGAACGGACAGGTGATGCAAGGGGAGGGGGGCGCGAAAGCGGGAGAGAACGTGACGGTGGAGAAGAAGACTGGGAACGGGCAGGGAGGAAGGACAGAAGAGTAAGGAGGAGAGGGCTGGGGAGAAGAACGGGGGGAAAGGCGGAGAGAAGAGGAGGGGAAGGGGTACGGAGGAGAGGTGGTGGTACCTCCTCCAACTCCTCCTCTCGTCCACGCTGCCCCCGCAGAGGAGGGTCTGCTAGACCATCGAGGAAGGAGCTGAGCGCCAGTCCCCTCGTGTGGTGCTCCTCCTGCTGCTTCCTATTCACAGGACTATCCTTCTCTGTTTCCTCCGCCATCACAGTTCCTTTGTCTGATTTACTATCCGCGGCTTCCTCCTCAAGCCTCGTATTCCTCCTCATGCCTTCTCGTCGTCGTCCCAATCCTTTTCCTCCGCGACATCATCGACCTCGGTTCTTTCTCATTGTCCTCGTCCTTTTGGTCCGTCCATTTCCTCCTCTTACATGTCCCCATCCCGGCTGGCTCGTTCTCCTGCTCATCCCCTTGCAAGTGGCACCACTCCTCGTCTCTGTCGTTCTCGTCGCTGTTGCCTGCCCGGGCTACTGCGGTCATGATTGTCCTTGCTGGCCTCGCTGCCGCTGCGTCGAAACGTGCCGCTGCCGCTCCGGCTGCTGCTGCCGCCCGTCTTCCGATGCTGCCACCGGCTGCTGCCCGTGGCCGATGCCGTCCGTGCTGCCGCGCCAGGAGGAGGAGGAGGAGGAGGAGGAGGAGGAGGAGGAGGAGGAGAAGGAACCCTCGCTGCCGCTGCCGACTGCCTGCTCCCACCCTGCCCGATAAGCTCTGCACGCCCTCCTGGTTGAAGCGGATCTGCGCGCCGACGCGCGCGTGCCCCTCTCCCCCCCCCTCTTCTCGCCCTCCTCTGCCCCCCCCCCCCCCCTCGGAAGCTCACGAGCCTTCCAGCCGCGATCTGTTCCCCATCCACCCGCACGCCTCTCCTCTCTGACCTCCTTGCTCGCCTTCTCCTGCTCTGCCTGATCCCCTCTTGGCATGCTCTGGGAGCGCACTCCGCCCCCTACCCCGAAACAAGAACCAGTATGGTGCAGACGATGCGGTGCTGACACGCATGTCCCCGCGGAAAAATCCTGCTATGACGGCATGGGCCCCGGCTTCTGACACCGCGTGAACCGTGACGCTTAGAAAGACCTGCACTCTCGGAGATTCTGAGAAGCTCTCGCCCCAATCTTTCGCGCCGTGTTGTTTTTTTCTGCGGGTCCTTGGGGCCGAAACCCTCGCTCCTCCCCCCCCGAAGGTGCTCAACCTTGAACGCCCGCGCGGGCGTCGCCGCCGTGTGCGCGCAAGGTTGACCATCGTTTGCACATGGGTTCGAGAAGGACCCCCACCAAAACATCCTGGGGCGCAAGAATGATGCCTCAACGAACAGCGCGAGGCGTGAGAAAGACCCCCCTCCAGCCACTCGGGGCCGCGGCCCGTCCGTGCAGCAACTGCTCAACCCTCTGGCGAGGAGCTGCGCCTCGACGCCAAGCGTTGGGAACCAGGCCGAGACGGGCCGCAGTCCTTCCGCGCACTACCGTTGCACTCCCAGCCCGGCAGCTTGACCATTGAGGCGCCCAGCTCTCGGCAGCCAGCCGCCCTCAGACAGCGCAGAAGCTAGGCGCGTTGGACCGTGCGGACCCCCAGTAGACCGACCTTCATCCCGAGAGCGGGCGCACGCCATCGACCCTGAAATCGTGTGCGTGCTTGTTTTGCTGTTCGCTGGGTGATCGAATAGTTATTCCACCAACGAGCCGCCCCGCCCCGTAGAAAGCAGCTGTGCAGGAGCCTGGCCAGCCTGAATTCACAAGAAGGGCAGAAGGCGAAGGGAGAGGAGGGGAAGGATGAAGGGGACGAAGCAGAAGAGGAGAGGCAGGGAGGAACAGGAGCACGAGTCTGCACTTCGCTTCACGGATGCCAGAGAGCACACCTCGCGGTGTGGATTCGCTTGCCTGCGTAATGAGTACAATTCACGATGGCAGAGAGCACGACCTTACCAGGCTGATGCCAGATCCCGCCCTGGCGCGAGACATTGAACTCTACTGTCCAAGTGAAATGCCGCAACGCCCCTGGACCGTGTACACATGTGTGATAATTTCGAGTGGCACACGGTGCCAAGTGCGAGATGGAATAAGCCGAGTAGGAGAAGGCGGGATGAACGTTGAGGTTGCCAAACGCACAGTCGCAGGCCATCGAGAACCAGGCGGCGCTGCGGCGGGAAAAGCGTGAGCCGTACTCAGGGCGGGGAACAAAAAGAACAAACGCCGAGGCAGCCAGAACAGGCACCGCCAAGGCGGGGCTGCCTGATACAAGCACGCGATGGGGAGCAAGCCGGTGCAATCCAAACTTTGCGGCGAGAGCTGCTGTATCGGGAGACTGTTGGCGGGCGGGGAAAGCACCCACGTGCCTGCCACAACCAGGATGCCCTCGTGCAAGAAGCTTCGAGGACGCGCCGGCGTGCTGCACGGATCTGCCATGTCGGAGAATCGTCCTGGCAGGGACATGCGAAGCAGCCGGTGATCGCTCCACACCCAGCAACGTGCAGAATGGCTGCGTACGAAGATTCGGCACAGCAGGCTAGAGGACCCGCATGCATTGGCACGCATTGGGTAGGGGGACCTGGCTTCTGTTGCGCGGGCCTCCAGCGCCGCCCCTGGCGCGCTCCGCGCGCCAGGAAAGGGGGGGCCCGCACGGATCCGAGAAGCCCGCGCGGGCTGCAAAAAGTTCATGCTTGTGTGTGCAGCGCTCTTTGTCTGCTTCGAGCTGCAACACACGGCACCTCCTCTTCCTCCTCCTTCTCCTCCTCCTCCTCCTCTTCCTCCTCCTCCTCCTCCTCCTCCTCCTCCTCCCTCCTCCTCCCCCCTCCGCCCAACTCCCTCCTCCGCCTCCTCTTTCTCCTTCTCCTCCTCCTCCTGGCTTCGGCCTCGAGTCCACGCTATATCTGCAGCGGAGCACTGTCGCCGCCGCCCTGACCCGCCTCCGGCTGCGGGCCCGCCGGGGGGCCCGCCTCCCGCGGCGCGCCGTCGGCTGCCCTGCCCTCGCCGTCCGCGGCGGTGCTGCCGCCGTGGCCCTGCCGACGGTGCTCCTCCTCCGCGCCGTGCACCTCCCGCTCCTCGGGGCCCTCCTGCTCCCCGGAGCGGGGGACGCGGAGCACCACCTCCGAGACCTGCGCGTCGAGGGTCTGCTCGGAGGCGCCGACGGAGAAGTGCACGGCGCCCTGCTGGAAGAACGAGCGGATCAGCGTGGCCGACTTCTGCCCCTGCGACACCCTGCGGACCTTCTCGCTGTAGAACTCGTCGGAGGGGACCTGGAACCCGGGCAGGCATATGGAGACCGCGGCGGGAGGTGGCAGGCCCGCATTCTCGGCCTTCTCGATCGACAACATGATCTGCTCGATCGCCGTGATCTGTTCGGGGGCTGCGAGCGTTCCTGGGGAGAGCAGGACCAGCAACGCGCGCGCGGCTTCGACGGCACGGAGAATCGCGCCCTCGTCCCTGGCGTACTCGTCGATGACCCGTACCCCCTCGGGGACGAGACCCTTCAGCTGGGGCTGGATCTTCTGCAACAAGATGAGGGCGGCGGCCAGGGCCTCGTCGTTGCCGGGCTCCGAGGAGATCAAGACCGCCCTGGGCTTCCCGGGGAGGGCCTCGGAACTGGCCTTGGTCCCTGTCTCAATCGACGCAGCATTCGCCGCCTGGCCGTCACTGAGGAAGTTGGTGACATCCTCGAAGCGAGTCATGCCCTTCAAGTCACTGCGCATGTGGACTTTCTTGACGTCGTCGCTCATAAGGCTGCGGTATGCAGAGACCACGCTGTCGTTTGTGATGCCGAAAGCGTTCAGCGAGCAGCTGCTCAAATCCAGATACTTGGCCATGTCCGCATAATCAACCTCGTTCGGCGGCACGAAGCTGTCCGTGACCACCGCAGTGACCCGCCTGCGCCACATGAGTGCAGTCACGATCTCGCCAGCGCACCATGGCCTGCTCAGAGTGTCCCTCGTCAAGTAGACCACCAAATGGTGAACTTGCGTCTTGACTGTGTCGAACAACGAATCCAATTGCATGAGGTCATCCGTGTCGGTGAGGACCGGCTTGCCTGTCTTGGACGTCAATATCATCTTCAGCAGCCGCGCCTGCGCCTGGGCGCCCTCTCTGTGATGACAGATGAAGAAGGCATACGTGGGAAAGGGCTTGAAGTAGTAAAACACAGAGGCCACGACGAGGACAGCTCCGACGGCGAAGAAGAAACCGACGAGCACGGAGGCAAAGGCCGGGATCGAGGAGTTCTGGACGTCCACGTTCGCCGCCATCGCTCCGCAGATGAGGACCATCAGCAGCGTGGAGCTGCAGGCCGCGTCGGCGTAGTTTGCCGCCGCCAGCTTCCAGGGGGCGAGCTCCACCTGCAACACCATGGTGGCCAGGATGAGGACGGACGTGATAATGACCTGAGCGGCGACGTCCGACTCGATAACGACGGGCACGAGGCAGAGGAACAGGTTCCGCACGAGCATGATCAAGCCGTAGTAGTAGCGAGAAGGCTTGAAGCGAAAGAAGAGGAAACGGAAGGATGCGAAACCGAAAAAATCGGTATCGGCACCCACCGCTGCATACTTAGGGTACTTCAGAGTGCCGTAGAGCACGAAAGACAGGAATGGCAAGGGTACCATGACCATGGCGAGGATGCCAACCGCTAGCATCGAATAGTGCTCGTTGCTCTCGAAGTAGAGGACGGCCGGATCGCTCACGAGCGAACTGCCAGCGTTGTTCGGGTGGTCGTAAAACACCAGGGGGGCCGATGCTGAGAGCACGATCGAGATGAAGAATACCTGAAAGACTGTGCCGATGGTGTTGACAGCCTCCCTGAAGTGCATTGTTTTGGGATCGAACTGTTTTTTGACCGCCACGGTGCCGCAGATCCACGGGACCGCGAGCGGAGCAACAAATTGCCGAAGTGCATAATTCGACGTGGGGTTGGAACCCATTGAACAAGATATACGCAAAATCTTGAGATCAAAACTTATCAATGACATGATTTTGAGCATGCCCCGCAACGGTTCGAACCACTCCAGGCTGAAGAACGTGAAGACCGAAAACGTCTGGAGGCCGAGGAACATCTGGCTAGCCATGATGACACACATCAGAGTCGAGCTCGTCTGCATCAACAAATTACGGTTCACGGATATGGTTCCAACACAGACTGCCACGACGGCAACGAAGCATGCCAATACAACAAGCCATGTAGCGTTTGCTTCACAAGCGTGGCACTCCTCACCCTCCTCGTACGTATAGTCCTCGCACCTTGCGCAAGCAACCTCGCCGCTATCACGCCCCCGGGCGCAAGTAGCGGGAGCGCCACCTGGGCAATGGCTCTTGTCTTTGCACTTGAACACCCTCAACAGATCGTCAATCCGGGTCATGTAGCCCTCCTCGACCACCGGGAAAGGCTGATCGTCATCCGAAGCCGCTTTCAAGCTACCGTCGACGGCGAAGAAGTTCGAGAAGGTGCTCCCGAACGCGCACTGCATGCCCACTGGGCAGTCGACGCACGGGCCGTCCAGGCCGCCGCCCTCCGCCAGGTAGGTCCCCTCGGCGCACTTGCAGCTCTCCTTGGCCGTGGCCGCCCTGTAGATGGTGGTCATGCCCGCGGGGCACGCCTCGCAGGTGTAGTTGCCGCCCGGGGGCATGTAGGTGCCCAGCGCGCACGACATGCAGGTGGACTGCCCGGGGAGCTCCGTGAAGCGCCCGGCGCTGCAGGCCAGGCAGCTCCCCTGCCCGGGCAGCGGCTGGTGCTCGTTCAGGGAGCACATGGAGCAGCTGTTCGAGCCATGCTCGGTGGCGGCGGTGCCATGGGGGCAAGGCTCGCATGTCGTCTGGCCAGTCTCGTTGGTGAAGAAGCCGGGAGGGCAAGGATCGCAAGGACTGGACTCGTCGTTGTTCTTCACTGTGCCGGCCGTGCAGCTTTCGCATGCGTAGCCGATCTTGTCGTTCCCAAATTCGTTGGTGAACTCCCATGAGATCAGGCCCGACCCAACAGCGCAGCTGTCGGGAGGTACCGGCACATAGTCCGCCTCCAGGTTCCCTCCAGTCATCACGCCGACACCAATGCGGACACTCATATCTGCGTGCTGGTCCCTGTTCACAGTCACGTACCCTGTCTCCTCGACGAGGTCCTGTCCATCGGGGCTGAAGCCGAACAGTAAAAAATCCCCAGAGACGTTCCATGCGTTGTTATACACGTTCATGTACAAGTCGCGCTTGAATGCCGAGTAGGAGCCGTCGACGATGCTCTCGCTGTCGGGTGTAATTTTGGCCAAGAGCGTTTCTGCCACCCCCAACTCCGTGTCCTTCGCGATCGCAATGGCAGCGACTGTGTCAGTGAACTGGGCAAAGTAGGCGTACCCGAAATATGCGATGCCCCCTGTGTCTGCGAGCAGCCACTGCAACAGGAGATGGTCATCCTCCGAGGGCATGACGCAATTCGAAGTCCGCTGAGACTGAATGTAGAGGTCCGCAGCGTCCTCGTCGAGACCTTCAAGATAATGCAAATCGTCGGCGTCGCAAACCGGGAAGTACTCAGTCCCCCCGAAGTCGCCCAGGACCGTCTCCCCGAAGAAGTCGTGGGTGCCAGACTGGTCGCCGGCGCCGTAAGGGTTGATCGGCGTCTCCTCGCACCTGACGTCTAAGTCGCTCCACTCCTTGACAGCGTCGTCGTCCATGTTGGGCACGCACGACGCAATGGAAACGCCATCCTCCTCCAGCTCCGCATCGCTCCAGTCGGAGAAGATCCAGCGCAGCTGTGCGAGCGTCAGGCCTCCGATGGTGTCGATGCACGCGTGAGCTGCGCTGTCCCGCTTGATAGCCACTGCCAGACCGTCTATGGCCACCATGATCTGCGTGACCCGGTTGCCGCTCTCGAGGCACTCGTAAGTGTACCCGTCGTCCAGCAGCTGCGCCTCCGAGGTCTTCCACTCGCGAGACATGTCGCCGATGTCCACGTGCTCCGGGTCGCCGGGTGGCAGGCACACGCGCCGCGCCCCGGAGCTCGAGCCGCCCCCCTCGAGCGTGATCGTGTAGTTCGGGAGCAACGCGTTCTGCCACTGCTCCGCCACAGGCTTCACCGTGGACGAGCCGGCGATGCGCAGGTGTGGCAGCGCGGAGGCTTTCGCGCGCGGGGCACAGAGGAGGAGCAGCAGGGTCGATATCACCACCATCTCCACGGCACTCGAGCAAGGTCCAAGGTAGGCTTAACCAGGGAATGCAAAAAAACAAAGGCTGAGCCAGCACTGAACCAAACTGTTTACAGGCCCTAGAATCGCGTGCGTATTGAAGACTCCAAGCTTCATGGATCCACATTACACGTCGGTCGGAAGAAATAGGTACTACCATGGAATAGGACGGCGGATAGAATATATGGGGTTCGGGCCATCACAAGGAATACCATAACACAGCAACATCGTATCGGTTCTTGAACTAGGAAGGCACTTGAAGTGGATTGGGATCTGGATTTCCCAAAATACTTCCTTTCAAAAACCGACGTGCACTGTATGAGGGAGCGCCGTGCCAACATCACATTTTAAATTCGATCCGACCTCCGCCTGAGCAACCGTTGACAAGAACCACCGTGAGGATCACCATCGTGGTGACCACTTGGACGGCATGTTGAGAACACCCTTCCTGCCCCGTCGGCGCGTCTGGGCAAGACTCGGGACCGAAGTTTCATGATGCGGATGGGCATGGCAGGGAAGCGGCGTGGAGAAGAAGGCCGAAGAATGGTGAGGAGTAGCAACATGAGACGCGAGGGTCTGGGAGAGGGTAAGGATGGAGAAGCAGGATGGGCAACTGAAGAATGGGGAGGAGGAGGACGAGAGAGGAGGGAACCACAACTGCTTTGCACTGCTTGGTGGTGCTTGGCGTTGCTTTGCATTGATTGGCGTTGCTAGATTGTGCTAGGCATTGCTTGGCATGGCGTGGCATTGTTTTGCGTTGCTTGGCATTGCCTTGTACTGCTCTGCATTGCTTGGCGTTGCTTGGCATTTGTTGGCGTTGCCAAGGGACCTGAAGAATCGGGCAAGTGGGCAACCCAAACAACTCCAGGGAACGCAGGGCAACTGGACAACGAAACAACGCGGAGAACGCTGTGACTCGTTTCTTCAATCCGACCCCGCGCCCACAAGTTTCTGTGTCAAAGGAGGTGGGGACCCCTCAGGCAAAGCCAAATTTGACAACGCATGCGGGTGATCGGTTGATGAAGGCAACATAGGCTTGGCCAGCCATCGCCGAAAGTGTGGCGAAGTCCGTGTCCCGTGCCAGGGTGCTCCGGTACTGTCGCTCCCACATGTTTTTTCTGTTGTTCTTCTTCGCTCGGTGGCGCAACGACGGGACAGAGAGGTTAACAAAATGTCCCCCCCCCTGATGGGGCCGGTGGTATCGGCCACGCGGCGGGGAAAGAGAACTGACCGACCACTTCTCTGGAGGTGCGGGGGGAAAGGAGGAGAGGAAGGGGGGAGGGCGGGGAGGAGGAGGAGACGAGACTAGGCCAGGCTGAAGAGAAACGTGGAGAGCTCAAGCTAGAAATAATGCCTCGATCGTTACGAGCGCACGCCCTGACACATGCATCGACCTCCCACAAATTCTGGGAGGTGCTTATCGAGCTCGGGTCGAAGCAACGCTCGGTGACCCTTCGAGATGTGCGAGGACACAAACACTGAGCGCGAGGCGTAGGTGGTCCAGGGAGCTTTCTCTTCCAACCCCATTCTTGTCCTTCGGGAAAAGATTCGCCCCTGCGTCCAAGATGCCCCAAGATGTCTCCAAGATGGTCTCGGAGAATGCAAGATGGCCTCCGAGATGGCTCCAGATAGCGTAAGATCGCTCAAGATGGTTCCCAAGATGCTCCACGAGGCCGAAGACCGCCTCAAGATGGCTCCCAGTGGCCAAAGAGCTCTCCAAGGAGGCCCCCGAGAGACCAAAATCATTCAAACACCTTCGGACAATCGATGTGTTTAGGCACTTTAGAAAGGTAAGGCTAATTCAAGCTTCCCTCATGTTGTATCGGTGTCTCCCAAGATGGCTCCAAGAGCGCCCCTAAAGCTCCCAAGAGCGCCCCAAGAGGGCCCCAAGAGGCGCCCAGACGGCTCCAAGAGGCGTCCACAGGGCTTCCAAGAGGCTTCCAAGAGACCCCCAAGAGGCCTCAAGAGGATCCCCGAGGCACCAAAGACGCTCAAAGACGGCCCTGGACCCGACAAGATGCCCCCCCAGACGCCCCAAGAGGCCTCCAAAAAGCTTCCAGGCGACATCCGAGGAGACTCCGAGAGACATTCAAAAGGCTTCTGGCTCTTCTGTTTCTTTTCCTCCTCCTCCATTCCTTCTCCGTCTACAGAAGTCTGGAAGTCTCCCTGTCGCACCCCGGAGCAAATTTCTAGGGCGGGCCAGGCGTTTCGCCTGAGACTTCCTCTCCCAATTTATGATTCTGAAGCTAAAAATTGACAACAGATTCAGAGATGGAGGGCGGGTGGTTTTCAAAATGTGGCTCTCGCCTTAGCGCCGCGCACATTTGTTTTAAGACGTGCAGGAGCTTCGCGGATTGAGGGCAAGTCGTTTTCAAAATGTGACTTTCGCCCCAGCGCCGCGCACACTCGTCTTAAACAATTGCAAGAGCTTCACAGATTGAGGGCGGTTCCTTTGCAAAATGTGGCTCTCGCCTTAGCGCCGCGTACACTCGTCTTCAAACATTACAAGGAGCTTCACGGATTGAGGGCGGCTCCTTTTCAAAATGTGGCTCTCGCCTTAGCGCCGCGCACGCTCGACTTAAAACATACAAGATTTTCACGGATTGAGGCAAGCTCCGTTTCAAAATGTGGCTCTCGCCTTAGCGCCGCGCGCATTCGTGATAAAACGTGCAAGAGTATCACGGGCTCACAGGATCAACGTGCCAGAAATTGTGCTTTGGATATATTCAGGTTTATGGGATTGCACAAGTTATGTTGGTTCGCGGAATTCATGTCGCAATATTGGCGTCCTGGCACAATCCAGGATCGTCAAGACGCAACAGTCAGGTTGATCCGTGGCGTTGGGATCCCAGGAACAATGTTTTGGTATGCTTGAAGGTCTTCAGCCACTTGTCTTCCAACGAGGCAGTTCCCTCAGCAAAACTGAAGCATTGTAGGGGCCTCTGAAGAGGGAGCTTGGAGGGAGGGCTTCTTCCAACATCGTTGATGCCTCTTGGGTTTACACTGGTCCTCCTCCACCTCCTCCTCCTGGTCCTCCTCATCCGAAAATGCATCATCCTTCTCCCTCCTCCATTCTCCTCCTCCTGCTCCTCCTCCCTCGGACAATAGCACCTGTCCCCCATTTTGCTCCTACGCTTCCATGATCGTCTCAACTCGCCTGGACGTCGGGTTTTGATGGGCCGGTGGGGATACTTGTTGGGCTGCGAGTGACGCGGAAGCAGCCGCGCACCGTCAAGGGGTCGAGCGGCACAGGGCCAGGGCGCACGGCGCAGATAGAGGGGAACTGGAACACACAAATAAATACACACAAATAGAAACATATCCCCCATATTTTCACATCTTTTCTGGGTTTTTGTCTTCCCCACCACTTCCCATATTTTTGCATATTTTCCTGGGAGTCGACGATTAATTGTGTCTGTGTGTTTCTTTCCCTCCTGAGCAGAGGCTGGTGGGGATACTTTTTGGTCAGCGGCCTCGTGAAGCGGATCAAAGGGCGCCCACACTCTGGCCGGGCCACGGCTAGGCAGCAACTGGTGCGGATACGCGAAGCGTCAAGAGACACAAATCCTGGCTGGACCCCCTGAGCCCTTGAACATGTCGTCAAAGTTGAGGCCTTTGTCTCACGCCAAGGGCTCTTGCACTCGGTAGCATGCCTCAGGTGCACTGGCAAGTATGCCCTGGCCAGTTGGAGACAACATTTTCTGACAGGGATGCCCTCTACAAGTGGGACGGAGTCAAGCGCCCTTGCGTACGAACGTGGCTAGCGAGCATAGCGAATAGGACAGCTCGACATTGCATACCGCGCATGGTGGAACTCTAGTGGCGTTACCGTCGTAGCTGTGCGCCGTCGTCAACGTGACAACTGCACCGAATTCTGTAACAACATAATTGGTGCACCATAAATTGCTGGCATGTTCAGGGCCGGTGGCGACCTGGCATGTTAGGTTTTCTGCAATGGGGAGCAGTGCAATCCTGCGCTTCTTCTTGGAGCAGACTCCCAGTGCGCGAAGATCGCCGATGTTCTCTTTTGATTTGCGTGGCTCCAGCTGCTGTGGACCTTCGCTGCGACAGCACACAAGAGCGAGGGCACGTCGATGGGCAGCGAGATATTGACAGCTAGTGTACAGCGCGCCAGTGCAATGGGGGCGAAGGGAAGAGGGAGGAGAAGGATGTGGGGAATGAGGATAAGATGGAGGACGTAGAAGGTGTAGGAGGAACAAGAGGCTGACGCCCTTCAAGCACGTGCCGCTCCGAAGAATACATTTGACACCGCGCCCTCCGCACTGAGTCGGAAACGCCCCACCCCCCACTTGAATAATCCCCATCCTCCGCCTCCCCAACCTTTTCTTCCTCGTCCTTCACATCCCCCTCCCCCTTCCCAATTTCCCAGTATTCGTACCCCTCATCGTCCACAGCTGCTCAATATGAATACTACTCTCCTCTTTCCCCCGAAGTTGGCCGTAGAGTCGCCCCCCCTCATCGGCGCTTTGCTCCCATCGTTCGGGATGGCGCTCTCGCCCCAACGCGAGCCGCTGTTTTCTGGATCTGGGTCGTTCCTCATCGTTGTCGCCCCCCTCCTCTCCCCTCCTCCGCCTTCGCCTGGTCCTCCTCCTGATCCTCCCGCTCCTTCTACTCCAGCTCCTGCTGCTGCTATTCGTCTTCGTCCACCTCCTTCCTCCTCCTCCTCCTTCCTCCTCCTCCTCCTTCCTCCTCCTTCTCCTCCTCCTTCCTCCTCCTTCTCCTCCTCCTTCCTCCTCCTCCTCCTTCCTCCGCCTCCTTCCTCCTCCTTTTCCTCCTGCTTATGCTCCTGCCCATCCGCCACATCCTTTCCCCGTGTACGCAACTTCCCTGTTTCCGACTGCGCATCGCACGACGGGGTCCTTTGGGGAGTTCCGGGTCCGCCATGCCACGCGCCGGCGGACGGAGACGAAAAATCCGCACACCGGGCAGGCAGGGGCGGGAGGGGGCAGGATGTCGGATATTGCACGAGGCGCGCTTCATAGCTTGCCCCCCCTTCCCCCCTCGCCACCGTCGGCCCCCCAACCAGGGGAACCGGCGCGAGGAGGGGACTTCTCCACCTCCA